GAAATTCTGCCACTGGAAATCTTAGCAGTTGATCAATTTTAATGGGCAAATGCCACTGGAATTACACGCGGGACGGGCCTCTATGGTCGAGGGTCGAGTGTCGAGTTACCAGTTACGAGTTACGAGTGGATGGTTCGCAGAACAGCGCCCATAACTGTGGCAGGCAGGCAGGCAGACACCTGGCCAGGCAAAGTGCTCCAATATTCCAACTGCAAATAAACATAAAGCCACAGTCCGGAGTTCAGAGTTCAGAGACCACACACACGCGAGTCCCGCGAAGACTGGAGACAGTGGTGCAGAGTTGTGTTAAAAATATGAATGAAAAGGGGACAAAAACACTGTCTTTACTATGAGGAATGCCTGAAAGAACAGCCCCACGAACATTTCATGGAAGTATTGCGAAAAAAAAAAAAAAATGTAGTATTTTTTGAGACCTTTGCAGGAAAGGGGCATCGAATAATGGTAATGCTAGAAATACTCATGGAATCCTTAAGGATTCAGAAGATCTTCTACCAAAAACTCAAAAATTTCTTCTACCAATTTCGAAGTGAAATCCAAGACCTCTGGAAATCTTTGGTTCTACGATGGTTGGTAAGCCACCGATCTATTGGGGTCTTAAGTGGAACAATATAAGGAATAAGTCCACTTTCTTTCAAAGGAAACTATGAAAACTAATCTTCTTTTTTAGTAGATCCAAAAATCACTGCTTTCATATCCATTGGGATCTGTGGCGGCAGTGTTTGGCCCCACTGTACCACGTACGTAATGCACGAAATGTTTATCAGTGCGCGGCAGCGATTATATTGGCAATTATATCGCCACATTGGCGCCTCGCACGTGACTCGTTTCAAGTTCATTCGAAGCAGAGAAGGGAGGCGGGACAGCAGAGTTGCAGAGGCACAAGCACAAGCACAAGCAATGTTGGCATAATCACTCCAGGAGACAGCTCCAAAGGTATAGAGAGGTGCAGAGGGGCACGGGGAACGGCTCCGAAACGTGGGCTGACAGTAAAAGAAATCTTATCTAAGGCGTGTCAGTGGCAGCCGGGTGATGGGACAGGTGCATGAGCCATGGCTTATGTCAAGGACACTGCCAATCGCAGGCAAAGTTCTGTCTCGCCTCTCAAGTTCAAACGCAGCAGCGAGGTGGGGGCTAGGGGGCTAGGGGGCTAGGGGGCACGTTATGAGAAGCGGAAGAAAACCCATAAGATATTAAAATATTATATCGCAATATGGTTCAGCTCTCCCAGACATACCCTTATTCCCTTCAATTCCCATCTTTAGTGTTCAAAAATCAACTGAAATTTCCCTCGATATATTTTCGATATTTTTTGCGAAATTCCAATCGATGAGCATTCCCAGTGTTTGCGCTCATAAAAAACCACCCAAAAAAAACCAGCCCACACCCCCCTGCCATACCCGCACCCGCACCACCCCTCATCGACTCCCTAGTGTAAACAATCAGCTTTCGATGATTGTGCAAAAATAATACAACGGCCACAGGCCACTGCGATGACTTTTTCGCTCTTTTTTTTTGTTCATTTTATTTATTATTTGCTATATTTCACAATACTGCGGGTTCTACTGCTGTGCGGTGTGCAGTGGGGTGGGAGAGGGGGACGGGGTAGGGGGTAGGGGGGGACCGGTGTTTGCCATATTTTTATTTATTTATTGATCACTTGATTTATGTGGAAATTCTGTTGATATTTTTAACATTTGCTGATGAGTTTTCTATTTCTGTGGCCTGCCTTGAAGGCAGCAACAGCGACAGCGACAGCGTTTGTAGATACAGATACAGATACAATCGTCAGATAGATACATTTTGAAGGTGTATTTCATAAAAATGGCATTAAATGGAATTTAAGCTGCCAAAAGTGCGGCATTTGAAGTGCGCCGATTCGTGGAATCGTGAGGTGTACGTTCCAGCATTTTGGGGGGGAGGGGGGGGCATGAGGCATTGGGGCGACGCGACTCCACGCAATTTCAAATCAATTATGACACTGAGCGCCTCCAATCTCACCAATCTTTCCTTCGTAAAAACTGGCGCCACTCCGATTGTGTCTGTATGAGAGTGTGAAAAGGGGGTTACGAGTGCCACCAACTGTGAGTGTGCGAGTGTAAGTGTGAGTGCCACAGGGAGTCAAGAGTGTTACGGGGCAAGTGCGACGCACAAGTGCGTGCCCTAAACAAACAGCAAAAGCCAAATGGTATTTCAAACGGAAGTGCCGCCGCCTCTAGCGTCGGCCTTTGGCACCGCCGCCACCGCCAACTCCGGCTCCTCCCTTTGCTCCGGCACCGGCTCCGGCTCCACCTCCGACACCCGCGTCCATGCCCACGCCCATGCCTTCGGCTGCGTCTGCCCCACCACCGGCTTGGGCTCCGATCTGTGCGCCAGCTCCAGCTGCCGCACCGATGCCCGCCTGGGCCGCCTCGGCAGGCCCTTGAGCTGCAGCCATGCTCTAATTTTGTGGAAGAAATATCATTAGAATATGTTAGATTGGGGATAGTTTGAGGTTTCCCCAAAGAACGAGTTATAGACGATATTAACTTAAATGAAAACAATCCGAATCGAACAAGTGGTATTCCCTTTTCGTCCGACGCGTCTTGCAGCAGTCCACCTCGGTCGCTCCCAGGAGTCACCTCTTGAACCCACTATAAAAAAACTCTCACCATTAGCAAAGCCAGCGAAATCCAAGTAAGAACTGACAGTTTCATATCGAAAACAGCAACCGGCAACGTGTTGGTTGTTTGAAACAGAAACTATAGACAGATCATTCAGAACGATCGGTGGGTCTTTATATAGTGGTAGTACGCTTTGTGGCTGGCATGTGTGGAGACCAAAGTATTTCTGTGGCTTTAATCCAAACAAAAATCTTGAGGGCAATCCATGTAATACGTTTCCCCTTGAGGCTGATAGGCATCTCGACTGTGCATGCGACTGGGCTGTACTGACTTTGAATAGAATTTTATATAATAATAATAAAAAACAAAAATATTCATAAATTGTATTGTTGACAATCGTTTAATTGCTCCCGTGCCCTGTGCATGCTTTTGGCGTGCGTCGATTAATAAATAACTAAATAATTAACCAAACGAAACGCCGAGGCAACTGGCTGTTCCGTCGATGAGTGCCACAGAATGATGACATTGTCGTTATACTAGTAGCTTCGTTTGTTTCTCTTGCTCTAGCCGTTCCTTCTATTATTATTGTGAAATCTATGAAGTAATTGTGCAAAGTACAAGGTCGAGGAGGGGGAAAATAAACAAAAAAAAACCCCAACGAATTTAAAGGAAAAGTGAAACTCATTTTACAAGAATAGTTTCGCCATATCTTATCGGAAAGACTAGACCAGAACCAGCAGCAGGTCCCCGCCCCTGCTGTCCACTCACTCACTTTATTCGCAGTATAATCATTCGTTTTCATTTGGTTTCTGTGAAATTGATGAAAAAAAATTCTATAAATATTAAACTATCTGGAATCTGGAAATTTCATTAGAACGAATGATCGGAGACCAGCGATTGATGGTCAAATGAGATTTTGAGTAAATATTTGGACCATTAATCGCATAGATTACTTCGTAGAATTGACCTTTAAAGGGGTTAAAGATTAAAATAAACATTTATTTGATTCTCCTGCCGAAATTCCCCCATAATTATTCTATTTATTGATGCTATTATTTATTACTGCTGCATTTTGCTGGCAACACGGCATCTCCCCAGGAAACACCTCCCTTGTGCCCCATCGTTGGGGGATATTTGCAACACTGATAAACAAAACAATTACATTAAACAATCGGCATTACACACGAACACACGATGCAACTGCAAATTCAATGATTTTTAGAGTTAATTTGTTTATTTGTCGTGTGATTGGGTGGGGGAGGGGGGATTGGGGCTTCGAGGGCTGCATCTCTGGCCATCATTAAAATTTAAACAAAAAATAAATAAATAAATAAAAAAAAAGCCGCATGGCAATTTGCGAAATGCAACTGCAATAAAAGAGCAATAGAATCTGAAAACGAAGCCAAAGATACACTTTCAGATGTATCTTGGGGATTCACTGAACCGATTTGTATCCCAAGCTATTGCTTATTGAATTTCAATGGAATATGTTTGAAAAAAAAACAGAGTTTTTCATACCATCCTACAATACCCATGAGAAGTCAGTATATTATGAGCCGAATTCAATGATTCGTTGATTATAATGTTTGTAATGACATTAAATGCAAGTTTTGTTGGAATATATTGGATTTCCTTATCGCCATACCCCGTCCGAAAGTGTATATGAAACCGCGAAAACCAGACAGCATTGGAAAATAAATCTATATAAACAATAATATATACTATAATATGAACATCGTTTGTCATTGTTATTGGTGGGCCTCCCACCCCTCGCCCCAACCCGCTGACGCCGCGGTGTGGGTGGCCGCAGTAATGGGGCAATAATCACCGATTATCACGTATCTCAATCCGTACAAATAATAAAATAATAAGAGAGATATATACACGGGGGCAGGTCGGCAGGGCGGCAGGGAGGACAGTGCATGCTGTGGCATCATTAAAAATTAAATCAAAATTAAATGTTCATCAAATGCAATAAAAATCTTACGTACAAGCACATGTACACTCGTATGTATGTATGTACATATGTACATATGTATGTATGTATGTATATGTAAGTCCCTGTGTGCGTGTGCGCATGAAGGTTTTTTATTTTTCCTGGTTTTTCTATATTTATTTTATTTCTGGGGGCATCCCCTTTTCCGAATGCGAAGCAAACAAGTTTATGGTTTTGTTTTGCAAAAAAAAAAAAACAACAAAAAGAAATATCATAAATCGAAATTTGGAATTTGGAGGCGATAACACATTATTGTGAATTTATAATAGTTGAGCGTGCATGGATTGTCCATTTAAGGATTGCATTTAAGAGAGCAATACATACATACATATATGGAGTTATTGCTCGGAAAAACATCCACTTCAGTTATGGCTAGAACTTACCAGTAAAATTCTAAGAGATGTTCTTCGATCTGTTGATCATTCGCCTGATATTGTATGGAATTGAAACAATTATTCAGCAATATATACAAAAATAGATCTTTGGATCTTGACCTTACCTTTTTTATAGAATCGGGATCCTTATCAAACGAATCTGTTATTGAATAATACCTAGAAAACATATAGAATTATATTATTCACAAGTCAAAAGCTCATTCAAATTACTGGGTCCCTGGAGAGTCCCTGAGTTACACTGGGTGTTTTTCGCATAATCGAAAAAGATACAGACGCATGGGGGCTGCGACTGCGGCTGCGGCTGCCTATGCTGCCGCCTCATATCTGGCGGCATATCATGCTTATTTTGCGGTTTATTTTTTCTGAGAAAATTTGACGCGTACGTGTGACATATTTTCTGGAGGCGCCGCTGATAAGGCGCTTCTCAGACGCTCCACAACAACAATACACGGCAACCCAAAACAAAAACACTACAACAACAGCAACAAAAACAAAATATAAAAACAACAATTTGCAAGAAACAACAATCCCACAGATATAGATTATACACAAAACTGACAGTTGTCGTAGGTATACGGGTTGTCGCCGTCGCCGTCGCCACTTTGGCATTCAAGGCATCGTCGTTGTCTGTCTGTCTGTCCGCCGTCCGTCGCTGTCGGCGTTGTTCATGGAAATTGTAAGTCCCCGCCAAAGTATTTGCCTTCGGAGTAAAGTCTGGCTGTCTGTCTGTCTCGTCAACGCAATCTTCGATGTAAATAATTACAACGAATTCGAATGGAACGCAAATTGTGACTAATATTCGTAGTCGTAAAACCAGATAGCGCTTCAATTGAAGGTTAATTTCGGGCGGGGGCTCCCGCCGTCTGTCTGGGTTTTCCTGTCTTCCTTGAGTGAATTTCGTGAAAGCAAAAATGCCTTACCTTGTATTAATATATGTACATGCGTATGCAGTGTGTTTCCTCTCTTCCTTGTCTGTGATATTCGCTCGCATTATCTATCCCTTTCTTCCATGACCAAAGGTACGGTCCCTCTGAAAAACATATAAATAGAGGGGTGAGGCAAAGCTATATTGCACTGCAGAAAGAGAGAGAGTGAGAAAGGTGGATCTGCACCTTACACCAACATTCCTTTAATAGAAGCTGATATTTTGTCTCTCCATCTGTTGCCATCTCCCTTGACCGCAATCGGAGTTCAATGCTGCCGTCTCTTTCTGTCCCTCTGTCCGTTTGCTGACTTTCGCTCTCTTTGAATTGCCTACTCTCCCGCGGGGATATTTGCGTGGGATGGCCAATTGGGCGATAATTGGCAATCGATATTTATGATTTATGCGATGAATTTTCCCCGACCATGACAGTGGCCATCGCAATGAGGGTCGGCCTTCCTACGCTCGTCCAGATGGATAACGTTTCTGCTGCCCCCTGGTACCCCCCAATGACCACTCCAGTTGTTGTCCCTTAGCCATGTCCGCCTCTGCTAGTCCCACTTCCAGACCAGTGTCAGTCGCAGTCGCAGTCCCGGTGGCTTCCCCGCCTCTGACATTGCTCCTTTCCCTTTTCGTCCTCCACAAACTATGGCTTACTTGGATTGTGGCCCATCATCATCAGCATCAGCATCAGAACAGCAGCAGCTTTTGTGTTAAGCGCATTAATAGACCCTGCCAAGAGAGAGGGGAAAAGAAGCGGGAGCGAGAGCCAGAGCCAGAGAAAGTATGAGAAGAACATTAAAATGTGCAGTTTGTGTTTATAAAGCGTAAAATGAAATTATCATCGTACCATATTCAATTATCCCGACCAAGAGGTGGAGAGTGGGGGAGCAGGGCATATGCTCGGCTTATAATGAAGTGCGGCTGCTGTTGCAGTGTCCATCCATCTCCTTCTTCTTCCCACCACTGCCCACTATAGGCACGTGCGAGGGGGACCACTGAGCGAAGGAACAGTTACTCTCCGCAACAGCAGATGAATAGGAGCGTGGAGATTTGTGGTAGTCTCCACTATAGAAACACGTGACGCAGCTGCACCAATTTTCTCCAAATCAAACACTGGGCTTCTCTCCAAAATAGGCACGAGGGATGGCTCTACGCTGCCTTTTCACATGCATACATATGTACATACATATGTATGTATATGCACTTCTAAAGCTGCGTCACAACTCTCCACTAAACACACACTTCACACACGCGCGGGTAGGAGCCTACTCTCCAGTATTCTACGATTCGTGCGCTAAATTTAACAATATATCTGCGTATATCGCGTAACACCAGAAGATCAAGTGCGGGACTGCAGCACTAGCACTGCAAAAATGGCGCGTGGAGACGTGCGGGGGAACAATAGAAAATCACGCGCGTGGCTGCAAGACAAAGGAGAACGCGCGGAGAAGCAAGGAAAAAACAGCGCGTGGCTGGAGCCCTAAGATTGCAAGAGGGGGGCGGGATCAACACAGCCCGCGCGTGCCTGCTGCAATAGGAAAACGCGCGAGGCAGCATGTACATTGACCTGGTAATCCCAGTGGAGCCTGCGTGCACTGCCCTCCACAGTTCGAAGGACGGTCAGTAAACGGATGCCGTTTGGGGTCGCCCCAAATGTCCTGATCCACTTAACCCTGTGCTGACAGTTCCCAGAGCAAATAATACACAAACAAAATAAAAAATTTGATCAGCAAAAAGTGTGGGAGGTCGAAATAGTCAAGAAGCACCCACACGACCATTTTATAACCCGAAATACGATTAAAGCCAACACTAATATATATTATTTCGTATGTTTCAGGAATATTTATAGACGGATTGCTCGGCAAAAGGCAGATTAAAAAAAACGCGTCGAATCAAAGCTGCGCAACGAGATTACGGGATGGCGCAAGGGCCATATCGATATCCTGCACATGTGCGATAGTCTAGGCACGGGCCTAATTGGGCGATAGCCGGTGTCATCCACTTATCGATTTTGAATTTGAATTTAAATTTGAATGTGGACCAAAGATTTCAAATAAGAGAAGTAAGACAAGTAAGAGAATTAACATAAACTGCAAAATTTGTATCAAACTTGCCGAATCAACAGCTTTAGTTTCTAGTTTGTTTGTTTTGCTTGTATTTCATTGCCGCAAACGTTGCGAATTCCAAGTAAACCGTGCGGCCACGCTGTTGCCACATATGCAAGCCTCAAAAATGCTTTTGAAGAGCCAATGACTTTTTATATAAGAATGTAATCCACACCGCACCCACGGCGGTTTGTACCCGTTACTTATTCCAAACATAATAATTCTTAATGCGATTGCATAACGCGTCGGTCAGTCGGTCATGATGTCTGCCTCTGGCAATCCCAATCCCTTTGCCGGACCCCCTCTCCGCTCGTCTGCCCTGTCTAGACGCTTTTAATTTGCGTAATCAAAACACAGAATGCCACCGTCGACTGACAATGAGAGACGAAACAGAAACAAAAATTTTACCCTAACACCACATCGGCGAAAAAAAAGTCCGTCAGCGATTCGACAGCAGCAACAAAAACAACGATAAAATTTCGTATAAATAATGCAGAAACAACAGCAAAGAATTCCTCAAGTACAGCAGAAACAACAACAAAAATTACAAATTAACACAAATGTGTGCATGTATGTATATGAGTGTGTGAGTGTGAGTGTGAGAAAAGGCAGCCAACACTCACAAGCAGAATGACAACCCTGGCGCCCTGTTCTCTGTCTTCGAATAATTTCTTAACCCAAATGCAAACATTAATAACAAAATAAGAGAACGAATTGTTGCTTTTTCAGTAATTTGTTTCGATATTTGTTGTATATCGGATTTCAATAATATTAAATCATTGGGATTATGGGGGTTATGCGATCGTGGAAGGAGATATGTATGTATATGCATTCACGTTTATGCATTCACAGGAAATAGAAATTATTTCAAGGGTAAAGGAGATCTTTAACAGTTCGTACGTACTATGGAATTTTAACCATAGAAAACGATGAGAATACCTGTCCTTATTCCCATCCTGTCTTTATTACCAACGTTAACCCTGAACTCAAGCTCCGAGCATTATTCAAACAGCTTTATCTTCCCCCAAACAGTTCAAGGAACCCAAACTCTTGCCCAAATCGTAAAAAAGTTCTCCCATTAAAGTCTTATTTATTAAAGAACTTACAATCTATTCCTGACAAGATTCAATTATCATTTGCCTTGACCTTAACACAGATATACCGATATACAGAACGACAGAAATACAGATTATACAGATCTCCAGTCACACTTTATCTGTCTTTCTGTTGGTTCAAGGAACTTCGCAAATGATTTGTCACTCAATCTACGAGTAGTCATGTCTAATTATCATTTTAAGTGCCTGCGCCGTGTTTATACCCATATAACAATCCGCAAATAAATTCTAAAAATAACCAGTCAGAACAAGTATTCCCCAATTTTTCGGAGCCAAAGTCAAATTAACGGGTCCTCCGCGTGATTACCTTATGTCTACCTTCTCCGTGTACTACTCGTATATTCAGAACACAGAAAAACTGGACCCAAGAAAACATGCACCAAGGCGATTATCATATATCAACAATGTCGCTCTCTGGTCTGCTCTGTTTCTCTTTTGCATAGGTCTGTCGGGTGTCTGATGTTGCTGCAAAAGAACTCTCTCTGATGAATTGCATTTCGTTCGGGGGGTCGGTCTTGCCATAGGAACAGCCAGAAACGTGCTAATTATGTCTCTGCAGTCGAATTGGTGCATGGTAATTGTGATACACGAGTAGACGGGCGACCTCGACAATGTGTGAAAATGCTTAAACAATAGTTAGAGTTGTGTTTTCATAAATATATAGATGGTTAGGTGACTTATGGTTTTTTTAAGACCAGGTTTGACTTGGAGGGTGGGTGAATATTTTAGGGATTACAGAAAGTGGTGACCCCGACATAAAAGGTTTTTATCGGTTACAATATTTTAATTGCATTCATTTTACTGTAGAATCATAAGAAATCTTAAATGCTAGTATTTTATCTTGGAAATCTACAAAAGCCTGAGCTATTTACAGAAATTTCAAAATTGGTAAGCCCGACAATGAGTTAACGTTTATAATAAAACCTACAAAAACTTTTTAATTCTACTCTTATGACTTAACCAAGTAGTTTTGTGCAACAACAGTCATACAATAGCATTGTATCATAGATAATAGGTACCCAAGTTAATGGTGACCCCAACCTAATCCCAACCCCAAGCACCTGTCAAACTTATTAATTTCATTCCAAACGGGTCAAGCCTCTGCGTCTGCTATTCATGCAAGTGGTAAACATAATATGGGGCTATTTTTAACCCTATCGCTCCTCCGATGGCCTCAACTATGGAGTTCGTTTCTCGGAATCCATTCATTAGCTGACGTCAAAGATCTATGACTACCACGTCACTGTCAGCGTCACGATATGGCTTTCAATTTGAGAATTGTTGGCCCCGTTCGATGCGCTCGTTGAACTAGAAAAAGAATACGATATAGCCATAGAAAAGTGTGTTATTGTTCCACGATTTGTTTTGAAAACTACTTTATCTTTGTTTGCGCTTCGCTGTATCTTTCGCTGGCGCATTCTGTACGATGCATCGTATAGATGCACAACAAAATATGTTAAACTTCATTAGCAAGTGCATTTTGGAAATGTAGTCTTCGGATTTGTTGTTTTGGAAGCCGGATTTTCAGTTTCGGAGGTATACAACCTTCTGCATGAATTTTGCTTCAATTTATCTTGGTTATCGGCTGTTTGTTTTGTGTTTTTCTCTGTGTCTGTTTTACTTTGCTAATTTGCATGCGAATTCATAATGAGCACGAAGGTCAAACAGGTATCTGTATCTGCAAGATACATTCGCTTCGTATGTCACAAGTTATTTATTTCAAAATCAACATCCTCGCACGCATTTATCAAATTGTATGTGTGTGTGTGTTTTTTTCGGCCTTAATTTATGCGTCCCGCTTGGACGACTCCTCTGCTTTCTCTCCGTCTCTCTGGTCGATTTGTGAATGAATACATACAAATATATATTCACGAGTATATTCGACAGTAAATACAGGCAGTTTGGCGCAATTAACATGTTTTTAATTAGCCCAGAATTGATTTATGTCACACCATTCGGGAATTGCATTGCACATTTCAA